TGAGAAAAGGCTATCAAAGTCTGTGCAGTCACTCTGGATTTACACGAGCATAAATGAGATTAGAATCTGCAGAAGAGAGTTGGGGACTTCTTAGAGTATTTATCTGAACTATCTTTTTTCCCCTGTACTGCAAATATTTACAGCGTAGCTTTTGAACTTGTCATATTCAGGCCCGCATTAATGCCTGAATCTGCTTAGATTTTACTTTGGTTTAACAATGTTGAGACCCCAATGACCTTCCTTGGGTTCCCACCAACATCTCGGTGTGAGATCTCAGGGTCCCTTCTGGGACGTTTAAGGTTTTTTAAAGTTCTGCAAGATGATTCTGACAACAGTTGATGAGAAATTATGCTTAGATCTGTTTGGTGGTGCTTTCAGGTTAAATGTCAGTCTGTTGCTGAGTGTTTTGAGAAATCCTGGAGGTGGAAGTACCACTGCAAACATTTTGTGTCTCCTATGTATGTATAGCTAAGAGGGGCTTGGAGTCTGCACAGTTCCCTGAGATTTTGATAGGAGCTGCTGGTAATCTGTAAGTTTTGGGACAGGTTATGGACTTGCAATGATGAGCTGTGCTTTGTACACTTGTGTCTTCTTTTTCTCTCCTTTTTTCCCAACTCCTAGGGTGAAACCAAAGTCCTGAAGCTGAAAAACCTGCGGCCCCAGGATTACGCCAGTTACACGTGCCAGGTGTCCGTCCGCAATGTCTGCAGCATCCCTGACAAATCCATCACCTTCCAGCTCACAAACACCACAGGTAAGAGGGGATGCAGAGGGTCCCTGCAGCCCTCCAACCCCTCGTCTGCTCAGCAGCCATTACCCCTCCAGGAGGGGAAGACAGGACCCTGTCCAGGGTCTGCAGCACCTCCTGTTCACGTACATGGCTGCTAGGCTTGCAAATCCTTCATGCAGAAGTCTTGTGGCCAGGGATGCTCTAATTTCTTGTAGGTCTGCATATAGACGGTGCTTTGGCCGGGCCTGCCATGAGATCATTAAAACAGACTACATGTAGGTGTTGAGGCACTATGTAGTTTTTAATCCAGAGACCATTTTATTTATTTATAATTCTAAGTGACTTTAAAAATAAATTCACTACAGTCTAGAGGAGGGCATACGCTGCAGGATTTCTTACAAATAATTCATTCATGTGAGACTCTGGCCTGGTTTGCCAGGCTGCGCTCTCAGCATCTCCCAGCTAATGGGCTCTGCTGTTTGTGGAAAGCAAATATCTCCGGTGCCTTTCCAATAACTAAATTTTACACTGATATTCATACTGGCGGTGCTTGAGTGCGCTTCCACTTGCAAACAGAATCGGTTTGGTGCCTCTTGCTTGACCTGCAATAACTGACTGGTAACTGAGAGTATAACATACCAAATACTTGCAGGGACCTGATTGCAACCTGTCCATTAAAAACAAAACAAAACAAAAAAACCCACCCACAAAGCCCCCACATGTATTGAATATTTTCAAATAATAAGTAAATGTCAGGAAATTGCTTCCGGCCCTGGGGTATTCCATGATCAGAAAGAAAAGCATTGTAGTTGTTTGAATTATTCACCTCTCTAATGTAACACAAAGCAGTTTGCATCCCTTGTGTCATCTTTGTGCAGTGGAAAACAGAACCCTTTTGATGTTGCCAACTGTTGATGGGATATTGTTGATACTGTGTAAATGATGTTTATTGATCTGACTTGAGCCCAAGGTGCTGAACAATAGTTGCGTCATTTTATGTAGAAAGAAGAAAAATAATGAGCTTAAGAAAGTGAACTGTAGCTAATGTCAGAAAAAATATTCTCTGTGTAGTAAGATCTCTGAACATGTCTCAAGCAACTCGCACTACTGCCTGAATTTCTTTCAGGATGAAACTGTAGCGAATGCTGAAATATTCCCTTAAAAAACTTATCTGGTGCTCATGATGAAGAAAAGGATCTCATACAGCTCTTCTTCCCTGTTGTGTCTTTATCTTTGAAGAGTTAAAAGAATCAAATTTCTCTTCATGTCCATTCCCCACCGCCAGCCCAAGCGCAGGGAAACTACCCTTTGTTTCAGTCCAGCCCCTTTACTGAGTGAATGGGGAAAATGTGTTTTCAGGCTGTAGCCAGACTGGAAGCCAGCGAAATGGCTGAATTTACATCAACTTCTTAAGCACTTACCTCAGCTCTGGACTTGGACCACGTAGCACATACATCTAGTTCTTTTTTTCTGTTATTTAGTTATAAATGCATATTTATACACAGTTACAGTGGAGCCTGACACCACAAGCTCAAAGGGGCCACAGAAAACGTGTTCTGAGCAAATTGTATTAAAAGCTGGTGGTGAAAATGAAGTTGGCATTGTGGTGTGAGCAGGGTTTGTGTTAAATAACACAAGTATATTTAACATGAAACATTATCTGCCTTACTTGCCCTGTAGGTAGCATTGTGCATAGATGAGAAAATATTTAAAGATAAATCTCTATTTCTCTCCTTTTTTGCATAGGTCTTTTCTTTCCCTCTTACGCTCGTGCTTTAGCAGCCTCCGTAGCCTTGGCTGTGCCCAGAATCCTGAGCAGCTTTGCTCAGGGTGCCTTCACCTTGGTAACTGAGGAGGGCCCAAAGGATGCCCAGGTGCATGGAAATCAAGCTCTTAAATATTTATAGACCCAAGTACTACAGACCTTGAGGGGAATGGGTGGGTCAGGTCATGTCAGGCCAAGGGAATCTTCTCTTCCCAGTTCATTTGCTGTTCCTCAGCTGGCTCATTTTGGCTCTTCTGGCAGTGGCCTTTGGGCAGATCATGGTCTCTGGTAGGATGCGCTTCTCCCAAGGTCTGTGTCAGCAGCTTGGCCCTTGCAGCAGGGGATGGGTTCTTGGTCTGCAGCCTTAATGGAAGGAGGTTTCCCCAGCTCCTCCTCTGTCCTGCTGCCATTGTGTGGCTCTAGAGCAGCAGGTTGGGTCCGCAGAGCCATGGGACCGGCTCAGCACCAGGGTGTTGTCACCTGTTCTGGCAGGGTCACACTGACATTTTCCCCTTCCTTGATTTCTGCAAAATTAAACAGCCCAGCTGGTTAATTCTCCTGCAGTTTTACTGCAGCAAATTGGACTTAAAAGGGAATTGAAAGCGACTCTTTGTTTTTAATGGTCCCCCTGCTACTCGGCAGACTCCGCGAGAAGGTTTTCTGAGCCAAGAACAAAAGGAATTGCCACAGGTTACAAATAAATGAGATTCATCTCCTGCATAACAATGTCTGCACACTGTTAACCTCTGTATGCTGACAGGAGTGGGAGTGGGAACCCACACAGGCTGCCACAGCCAGGGCTCCATTTTGGGTCACGTCACGGGAGCTTGCTGCCTGGAGCTGCGCGGGTGGCAGCTTTGCAGTTTCCCTGTCTCCCTCTTGCATGAACACACAACCTGCCCTGAGGCAGTGCTTGCACCAGCGTGTCACTTTTTTTCCATGTTGCCTTGCCTAGAACTGAGCAAGATGAGTATTGATCAGATATGTGCAAGAACCCTAAATCTTAACCAGAGCCTGCAGGACCTCTGGTTTGTGCTCCCACATAGGCTGATCTCAGCCTTTCTCTGGCTCTGACGGGGATGGATGGAGATTCCCAGGCTAGGTGCTGCATCTGTCAGTTTGTCTGTGCCCTGTGAACTGGAGACCAGTTCAATGTCAGAGGGCAGGAACAGCTATTTGGTGTCAGCTACACTCAGCTGACAGCAATATGTCCTGCCTGACCATGGTGAGTTGAGCTCTTGTGCTCCTGGGCTTTATAGCATCTCGTGAAATCACCTGGAGCTTGGAGAGGACGTACCAACCCTTCCTTTGCCGATTAGTCTGCATTAACCCTTGCACGCTGTTTCCCAGACTCCAGCAAAGAGACCTGCCAAAGGTGCTGAGTGCAGGCTGTGGCCCCCCAAAATTCAAGGAATCCAACCACTGGCCTCAAAGTGGCCGGTGCAGGTGGCAGAGGAGCCACCTTCTTCCTTAGGCACAGCTGGCCACTGTTGGCACAAATAATGTGTGCTGTGGCCAGGGAGAGGGCATTTGATTCAGTGCACCAAAGCAATATCCCAGCGTGGCAGTAGTTGCGCCGCTAAATTACGGTGCCGGTGCTGAGGAGAGAGCAGTCTTCCTCGCCTTGTTTGTATGGGCTGTAATTCAGACATCCAACACAAATCCAGCACAGCTCATTAACGCAGGGTCCAGGGAGAGAAGAGGCAGAAATAATGATGCTGTTAAATCAGGCTTCATGAATATGGAACAATGTCTTATTTTGCATTATTATGGCTGTTACTTAAAACATACTCCCCGCCTTTGTGCTGGGGACTGCTACTTTCTCAGCTCTGTCTGGATGGAGCCAGTGATGGTGCTGACAAGTGCTTTAAAAGGCTTTTCATAGGATGAAATAGAGAATACAAAGGGAAGTTTTTTGGATCAATTCCTGGAGGGCCATGTAGTGAGAAGTGTGCAGAAAGAAAATAAACCAAAACCAGGTACTGGGGTATTCAAAGGAGAGGTTGTCTAGATATTTTGAATCAGTGTCAGTTCAGTTGTGCATGAAAGACAATCCCTGTGACCTGGTCTATAGGCCCCAGGTCTATAGAAAAGTGTATTTGATGCCTGTGGAGGTGAAGGTTAAGAGCAGGTGCAGAGCTGCCGTTCATGGTCTGTTATGGTGCAGACAGGTCCTGGTCCTCTGTGTCAGGCTCTGAGCTGCAAGGGTCAGCTGCCTGCCAAAGGTTTTGACTCTCAAAGGTGTCCAGTTGGGTGTGAGAGATGGAGAGACGTATCATGGGGTAGCTGAGGTCCTTTTTTTAATGGTGGACCTTCCCCAAAACTCCTTCTTGGGATGGCAACTCTGTATAGGAGGAGTGGTTTAATCCCAGCTGCCCTTGAGCACAACGAGCGGTTGGGTTCAAGCAGGGTCCTCTGAGCCTGTCCCTTCTTCACCTCTCCATCAGCGTGGAGCTCTGGTGTCAGGCAGAAGGAGCAGGCTGGGACTGGGCATACGCCTGGTGTTCTGCCTGACCTTCCCTTGGGATTGTGAGAACTGTCCAGCAAACACCAGCACGCTTTGGATCAGGTCCTGAGATGCTAAGCTCAGTCCATGGCTGCAACTTCCCGTGCCTAGTGACAATGAATCTCTTGTTCTCCTGCCTTTTATTTTATTTTTTTCCCCGCTCTGACGGCTGAGTCCATTGCGCAGTTTCTGTCCAAGGCATAAGCAGACTAACTTGTGTTTCATACAATAGCATTGCAGCAAGGGAGATGCAGGTGCTCTAGCAGGAGCTACCAGTTGAGCCTTTTCTCCAGTGCTGCTTCTGCAGGGCCTGCCTAGAGTCAGGGGAGTGAAATACAGGGAGAACAGAAGGCACCGTGGTGTCTGCCGAGGAGTGGGCTGGATGCCATACAGGTAAGTAATGCAGAGCCACAGTGGCTTTCCATTGCCCTTCTGCCTTGCTGCAGTTGTTTGCATCAGAAGTCAAGGAACCTCCAAGCTTAGGTTTTCCACTGCCAAATTTTGTCTGGTTGCCACCCCTACCTGTTGCAAAGGGGGTTCATTGGGCTTTTCTTCTGACCTGAGTCCTAAGCCCTAGAGAACCTGCACTGATTGCTGCTAAAATATCATACCTAGCTTGTGCCCCAATCCTAAGCACTGGTGGTGGAGTGGTTTAGGTATGACCTCCATTCCAGGGTGGTGGGAAGTCCTGCCTGCAGTGTTTCCTAACCATAACAGAGTGCTGTAACTCAAAGACATGGTAATGATCATGCTTTAGGTTCACAAACACCTTGTATTTGTAATGAATTCACGGATCCCTCCAGCTCTTCTTACTCAAACCAGCTATCTTCAAGAACAAATCCTAGAAAGTATGAATCCGTGCACAGGCAAGTGGACAAGTCGTCTTCAAGCTCAGAAGTGTCCCTCTTTGTACTCTTCCAGCCCCTCCTGCTCTGAAGCTGTCTGTCAATGAGACATTGGTGGTCAACCCTGGTGACAACATCACTATGCAGTGCTCTCTGACGGGCGGCGACCCACAGCCAGAGGTGGTTTGGTCTCACTCTCCTGGCCCAATGCCTCCCAATAGCCTTGTGCAAGGAGGCAACCTCACCATCTGGAGGATCCGTGTGGAAGACTCGGGCTACTACAATTGCACAGCCATCAACAACGTGGGGAACCCAGCAAAGAAGACAGTGAACCTGCTGGTGCGGTGTAAGTGCCTCTCTTTCTCAGAGCACGGGTTTTCAGGGTGGAGGGGCTAGATTTGCATTTCTCCTGACTGTTCTTGTGCAGCTGAGAGTGAATGTGATACTTAGCAGCAATTAATATTCTGGAGAAGTGCCTGTGCCAGCTTCTCTGCTCCCAGACCAATAGCTGTGTTAGCACTGCTTGCAGCCTTGTCCTGGGCTGTAGCACTGTCTTGGACTGGAGAATGATCCCAGACTGCCAGATGTGAGGCCCTGGGCATATTTTATTGGGAACATAACTGGGGGAGGTCTTCGGACAGATTTTGCATGGAGATGTTACCTTCCTGAGGAGCAAAGAGCTGTTGTCCTGTCCCATGCAAGACACTTTGCTGTCCCTAACTGGTTTTGCACTTGTGTTCATCCCAGCCATGAAGAATGCCACGTTCCAAATCACCCCTGATGTGATCAAAGAGAGTGAGACCATCCAGTTAGGGCAGGACTTGAAGCTCTCATGCCATGTAGATGCTGTCCCCCAGGAGAAGGTTGTTTATTCCTGGTACAAGAACGGGAAACCAGCCAGGTTCTCAGACCGGTTGCTCATCACCCGGAATGACCCTGAGCTCCCACCTGTGACCTGCAGCTTGGAGATTATTGACCTGAGATTCAGTGACTACGGCACCTACCTGTGTGTGGCTACCTTCCAGGGAGCACCCATTCCTGACCTCAGTGTGGAGGTAAACATCTCCTCGGAGACAGGTGAGCCTCTCTGGCAGCTGGGGACCTCAGAGGAGTGGTTGGCATCACTAGCTCCCCCTCACCCCCACGTCTCTGGCTTTTTTGAATGACCTCACATGAGTGTCTTGAATCCCAGTGGGGAAAAATCTCACATCCTCAGGCAAGCATTTGGCTCAGATGGGGGACGGGTGATAGTTACATCTCTGCCAGATGTGCCGTGCACCAAGCAGATCGTCCTTTATGTTTTTTTCCCTATAAAAAGTCCAAAGTGCCATCCAGTCAAAGCTACAGAGGCAGGTTTAGAATATGATTGTTCAAAGAAGCCTCCAAATTGTGAAGGAAGAAAGAGTGGATGGTATTGCACCAAATTTCAAATGTCCTTTTCCTTAGAAAGGAGTAAAAGAGGAAAAAAAAGCTGTTCTTTCCTCTCTTTGGCATTGCTTATGAGGAATGTCCCTTTTTTCAGAGCTGTGGCCAGGAGATTGGTATCATCTGTCATAGCAAATTCTGTGAAGAGCTTTAATGTTTACGGGATTGCAATTGCAATCTGTCTTGGGCACTCTCTGTAGGAATCCAAGTGTTATAAATGCCTCCCTCCTTTAAAATCAGGGTCAAAGCTTCACCCCACGGCTTGGTGAGGACAGGACTAATCCGTAAGTGTGTTTGTCAGTCACCTTGGGGACTGCAAGACAGGGTCTCCAGGCTGCTTTTTTGTTTCTGGGTAACTGGTGGGTCCGGCTCTGCTCTCCATTACATCCATGTCATCTTGCTGCCTTTCCAGCACCTTGAGGGTACGGCACAAAGCAGCACAAAGCAGCATTGAGCTTCCCAAGGGAAGCCAGCTGCCCACAGATTTTTGTCCTGAACCTTCACGGAAAGTTTCTTCTCAATCCCTGGTTGTGCTGGATCCATAGGCCAGGCTGGTCCCAGTCTTGATTCTGGACATTGCTCACTTCATCCTCCCAGCAGAAAGTTCTGCGACTGCTTTTGATGCTTTGGGAAGCTCCTGCCTCCCAGCAGAAGTGCTGAGGCCAGCCTGCTCCCAACGGGACTGCGCCCCGTGCTCTTTAGCAGCATGGAGACCGAGCTCTGACCAGGCAATGGACCCACTACACACCAAAGGCTGGTGCTGCCCTTCTGCTGGCAGCCCTGGAAGGCAGAGCCCTCTCCGGGCCAGCAGACACCAACTATGTTGTACCAGCAGGGAAAAAGCTGGGAGAACCCCTCAATCCTGGTGGAAAGCCAGCTCTCCTGACCTTGTGTGTCTGCTGCTGCCAGGAGCAATCTTTTTTGCCCAAGCTCACTAGATGGCAGAGTGCAGTTGTGTTTAAGGCTGCAAGGGTAGGAGGCTGCGAGGGGTTGGGAGACCCTGGATAATCCCACCAAAAGGCTGTGGACAGTGTCTGCTGGCGCAGGTGTTGGTCCAAGCACCAGCCAGTTGCTACCTTAAAGGAGGTGTCTGCGGTGGCAGGTTGCCCCATGCCCTATCCTGTCTGGTGGAGGGTGAGCCTCACGTGCTCATGTGGATGCTGCTGATGGGGAAGGGGGGCAGGAGGGCAGCCTGGGGTGTTTTGAAACCTCTCTTTGGCAGCCTGGGCCAGCAGGACCGATTTGTGACCCAGGGAGTGAAAATAGCCATCCCTGCCGGAGCGACACTCCACACAGTGGCCAAGTCTGTCCAGTGTGTGGCATCCCCACAAACAGCAACGAGCCACCTCCGACATCTGGTTCCCACATAAAAACCCAGCGGGTTTTCCCCAGACAGCAGGATCAGAGCAGGAGGAGCAGTGGCTCCATGTTTCCCCACTGAGCAAAGCCAGCGCTCACCAAGGTGGCTGCCTCCACTGAGTGGCTCAGAGGAGATAGCTTTAATTAAAAAAAAAAAAAAAAATCTTCAAATGCGATTTACAGCTTTTCCCCATGGAGAAAATTGCCTCTCGCCAGGTGAGCAGCTGCTGGCAGTGCCAGGCGCCGAGGGTGCTGTCATCGCTTCGCGCTGTGCAGGATAAGGTGTGATGAGATTCCCCAGCCCACAGGAGACTTGCAAATTGAAAATGTGGCCTCTCTGTTGCATAGGGAGGTCACCGCAGAGGGAGATTGGGCTGGAGCCATCCTAAATTTGCTCATAAAGCAGCTGTGGGCTGTAACATATACAATTATTGTAGCACGCTCTCCTTTGCTGGAGCTGAATTGAGCTAACATCGGTCAAACCAGCTTGTTGCAGTAGTTCTAAACTTTGATTTGAATGGAAACAAAGTACGTGGCTCTTGCAGTTATGGAAGTGCCAATCCAAGTGTTGTCGCTGCCAGCAGGAAGGGCTGAGAAAGGAGCTTTCAGAAAATGATTGTGGCCATATTTACCTCAGTTGAACTGTTAATGCTGAAGCCTAATGCAAATCAAATGTCAATATTACATGGGTTTTAACATAAACATCCTCTTCCTGGGTTCTTGGTGGGGTTGGGGATGTGAACAACAAACCTCTTCCCACTGACACCTCTGCACTCTTTAGCTGTAATCATTGGGTTTCTTTTGAGCTTTGTTTATTGACAAAGTTTTGTTTGTCAGTTGATAGCTGGATATTTCTCGAGTGTTACTGTGCCTCTAGTTCTAGCCCCAGCTCAGCAGCAATTCTGCTGGGTCATCTCATCCCAGCCTGGAAGGGATGCCAGAAGTGATCTTTGCTGAGACCCATCTCTCTCTCAAGTGAGCCAGAGATAACTGCTGTGCTGTGAATCTCAGCATAAAGCAAGCAAAGACACTTAACAGAGCTGGCTCCTTGCTGTGGTTTAGGAGCAAACAGGGATCCCGGACATCTGATAAGGCTGGAGATGCGATCTACAAGCACTAATCCTGTAAGTCTTGGCTTTGGTCTGGCCTGAACAAGGGGAACAAAGGCAGATACAACTTCTATTTCTTGGCCAAAAGACTGCAGTTCCACTTGGGAAATTCGCTGACCAGAAATTGAGAAATGGATCAAAGCAGCTTTTGCCTTTGTGTTCCTCGGTGCTCGCCCTGCTGCTGGACAGCATTTTGCAGCCAGAGGGATGTGAGATGGAGGAATATCCCAATATAGCTGGCACTTGCCATCGCTATTGGGTTACGTTGTTGGAGAAACCGAGATCTTCCTTGGTACCCTGCAGCTCCAGACCCTGTAGGATGACTTACATGGGCAATGTGTTTCTGTAGGGGTTGCAGTGTGTCAAGGGGAAACCTTTGGAGTTCAAGGCTGTTGGTGTGATTCAATCACAAGCATCTCAAGAATGTTCTTTGCTCGCTGGAAACTAGGTGTAAAACGATTCCCTTCTTCTCTCCCTTTTAGTGCCACCAACCATCAGTGTCCCTAAGGGTCAGTCCACCATCACCGTCCGGGAGGGCTCCAGGGCTGAGCTGCAGTGTGAAGTTCGAGGGAAGCCCAAGCCACCCATCATCTGGTCCCGGGTAGATAAGGAATTGCCCATGCCTTCAGGAACAATGACGATGGAGACGTACGATGGGAAGCTGTGCCTGGAGAGCGTGAGCCGAGAAATGAGCGGGACCTATAAGTGTCAGACAGCCAGGTACAACGGCTTTAACATCAGACCCCGGGAAGCCCTGGTGCAGCTCAACGTGCAGTGTGAGTATGACCACAGGGTCCCGGAGTGCCTGTCTGAATGCCTGTGTACACAAAAGCCAGCGGGCTAAGCAGGGCTGACACACTCAATGCTGCTTTCAGGCAGAGTTGACCTTTCTTACTGGGCTGAGCAGACACATCTCTTTTGTCTGGGGACCTTTGAACAGTTTATATTTAATTGGTCTGGCTACACAAGGCTAAGGGCAGGATACCGTATGGCCAGCGTGTTGCAAGTGGAAGGGAGAGGTGTTATGTGTGTTTGTATACAACGCTTTCCATTTCCCCATCAGTGGATGAGTGCAGAACAGCAGCTTTACCAGGTGTGTGCTTGTGTGCATTACATATGTGTAAAATACTTGCAGGGTACATTAGTAAGTTTGTAAAGTCAAACGCTCAAAAGGTAGCAAATGAGTGTTAATTAGACCATTTCAGCAGGTGAGATCTTGGCAGGAAGAAAGACTAGAAAAGGAATTAACCTGAGCGTCTCCTTCCCTGAAATAACATGACCTGCAAATTTGGACCCTTCTGGATCCAAAATAATAGTCCACAATCATCTGGGATTGACCTCCAAAGGATTACAATTACTGCCCTTAGGTAGAGTTTTGCCACATTAAGCAGCAGGCGGATTATTGTGCTTTATCTTCAAAGCATAGTGAATATCAGTTGTCATCAGGGAACAGACTGACCTTCTCTTTGGAGGGGCAGTTATGGTTATCAGGACTTCAGGAGCTATTGCGTAGTCCCAGACATAGGCATTGCCATAGGGCCGGTGACCAGCAGGTCTGGCTCTGCCCTGACCTGGAAGGCAGCCAGAACAGGTCCTGCTGGGGCATCTGTTGCCCTTGTCACTTAAAGTAATGTTCAGGTGGGCACAGATATGTTTTCCTATTCAAGCTCACACACTGACAAATGTTATTCCTGGTCACACGCTGTTGACTCATTCCTCTTTAAAATCCTGCTAAACCCATTGACAATGCTGTACATCAGGCGGGCAATAGTCAGCATCAATTTCTCCTGTTATCTATGTAGCAAACAGAAGAGCAGGGAGGAGAGGAGGGGCTGATAGTGTAAATAAGTAACAAGGATAGCTGGATCCGCGCAACTGGAAATGGAAATGCATTAAACCGTTTCGATCAACTGTTGAAGCCATAGCTCAATGTCAGTGCTCTTTGCTGGTGCCCTGCCGCCTCTGAAACATAAGCTTGGATATTAACTGCTCTGTTAAAAGCGCTCTTGAGACGTGCTCTTGGCATGGAGATGTTTCTGCAGAGCGGTTAGGACCGGGCTTTTGGCTCCTGAGAGCTCCCTGCAGTTCTGCCTGCCTATGTGAAGGGAGTGGAAGAGAAATGAGGCTGGCTGTGGCCAGAGCTAACCCCTATCTGTGGCTGAGCTGGCTTATCTGTCTTGCTGCCTGGCCATGTGAGCTGGAGTATGGAGCCATCTGCTAAGAATTTTAGACCTGGCTGGTTTCATTTCAGAGTGTATTTATTAATAGTGACTGTTTAAATCATTATTTTTTTTTCCCCATTATTTTCATCAGTGAGGTCTGTCCTGACACCCTCCTCCAAGCTGAGGAGCGCAGCTCAGGAGCTAACTTGGGGGCAGAAGGTGAATTTTCCACCCTTGCGGTGACTGGGGCTTTCCTGCCCTTCCGTTCATGCTTCAGTACTGCTGTTCTACATGGTACAGGTCTTGCTTCCGAGAGACGGAAACCTCGGGCTCTCTTACCAACCAGAGCTCTGGGATGTTCTGGTTCATTTTAGACCGTCATAGGCTTAAGAATGAACTGATGTTCTGGGGAAGGTGTGTCTGTATTCAAAGCCATGGGAAAACTGTGCCTTTTGCCAGTTCAGTGTTTGCAAAACTGGAGATCTTCATTAGCAAAAAGAAGAAAATAATTTGTAGTCATGGGCATGATCTCGAACCACCAGTCTGAACAAAGCCTGACCTGGTTGTTAGGTTCCACTTTGATGGAAATCCTTCCTGTTTATCTCCTAATTTGTTGTACAGAGGTTTGCGTGACTAAGCTGAGAGTATACATGTTATCTCTCTGTTTCTATCAATACATAGAACCCCCTTGCTCCCTCCATTAAGAGCAGAGAGTTTTGTTCCTGATTGCCAACATACTTTCCCCTTGCAGTATTGTGTCTGGGATTAAGTCGCTTAGAGCTTGTGTTTGTGCACGTAGCCCTGCCCTCAGCGATACAGCGTTAGGATTGCTCACTCCGCTTCCCAGTGCCTGGGCTGCTAACAACTAATTAGAGTTGTCAGTCTAAGGACAGGCTGAAGGAGGAATCAGTTTTACTCCGTCATGGCTGTAAACGCAAATGGCCACGGTTCAGAGCACAGTAACGACCACAGAGGCTTAGCTGGCCTCAGATTTGTTTTAACAATTACCATCTATTGGTCCTGGGGCTTGGCAGACGGAGGCTGTGACAGCACTTACATCAATTTCAAACTAGGTCTTAAGATGGGGTTGTATCAAATATAGCTGAAAAGAGGATGGCTCCTTTTTGTCTAGGACTTGTTGGCCCTACCCTCCTGCCAACCTCATGGCAGCAAGAGGCAGGTAGTCTGACAGGCTAAGAATACGTAGCTAAAACCTCCTTCTTTGTGACTACCTTTATGTTTGTGGAGCAAAGCCCTAAGCTAAGGATGCTTAGCTAAAACCTCCTTCTTTGTGACTACATTTATATTTGTGGAGCAAAGCCCCAGGACTCCTAGTGCTGCTTTTTTGTAGCGCTTGGTGTACGCAGCTTTGGAGAAAAATGTCTTTCACAGGGTAAAGCGGTTGTATGAATTTTGGCTAGTCTAAATTTTTCCCCTCGCTGTATAGCAGTTAGGACTTGCTCCACAGGACCCTGGTCTCTTCTCTGCTTGCTGCCTTGTGGGGAAGGTTCCCGTGTGCTGCCACTCACCGAGGTTTTCTTGGGAAGTCTCCCTTGCGCTCCGAGAGCTTTTCTGATTTACCTCTTTGATTGAAATTGGTCTGACAGAGCAGGTCTGCATGCCATGGTGGCCAGGAGATATAGGAGACTTGAGACATAAAGCAAAAGGTCCAGATGGCAGGGAGAATTCACTGGAGCGGTGAAGGCTGGGGAGCAGATTTTGCAAAGCTGGCATGTTCAGTCTGTGGCACCACAGGTCAGAGGCGAAGTACCGGGAGACCTCCTCATCCTCACTGTGCCCTGGGTAAATGACTGTGAAAGAAGAGAGGATGACACCCAGATATGTGGATGAGGAAGGTGGGAGCCCTCCTTAAAGAGGGGACCTGGGTCTGCTACGTGAGATTTCAGCCTGCCTGCACTGCTGCTCAGCCTTTGTGCAGCTCATTGCTCATCTTTAAACACCTCTGCAGTTGTAACGATAGGCTGAGTGAAAGCTTGTGTGAGAACTCCTCGCCTAGCGAGATGAATTTGTTTGTTCAGAAGAGAACTGGTGTAAATCAGCTAATCCATTTCTCAGATATTGTTGGGAGAAACAAATACACTTTCCATAAGCTGCCATTATCCTGGTTTTTGGCCGGACTCTCCAGGAAGAGCAATTTAATTTTATCAAGGGAGAGAGACAGCCAAGCTATACAGTTTTGTCATTAAAGGAGAGACAAGAGCTGTATAGACACAGTGGATGGCAGACAGTCTTGGTCATCTCTCTGCGGACAATTGCTCACCTACCGGGGCCCTTTCAGGGCTGAAGACCACATCTGGTATTGTTCTAATTCAGACACTCCTTTTAAGGTTTTCCTGCCATGGAAGCTATTTTCCCTGTAGGACCTAGCTGTACATCAACTTGTTGGGATAAAAAACAACTCCAGAATCCTCTCAAGCGCTTTGTGCTCGGCGTCCTGCAAGGCTGTGCATGTTTGGGTCTCGCCCAAGCGTGTCCTTGTCTTTAAGCCACAAAGTACAATGCTGCCGAAGTACCGTCAGACACTTTCCCAGAGCTTCCCATCTTGTCATTCTCAAGAAACCACTTTGGTTTTGAGCCCTGTTGTTATTGTCTGGGTTTAGGACATAGGTGAAAGCACCTGTATCAAAGATATCCAAACTGGGATACAGCTGGTGGTACCCAGGCTGCATCGAGACATTGTCCTGGCTCTGCTTCTGTTTGCATGGGGATGTGACCCAGGTTCCTCTCCAACGTACACTGTGAGTGCTTCTGTCATGCATTTACCTCCAGTCAGCAGGTCAGAGATGGTGAGCTTGGCATGGCAGCTGTTGCCAAACTTTCTCTCTTTGTCTGTGCAGCACCGGTACATGTCCAGGGGACATGGGAACTGGACCAAGGCAGATAAAGGGCCATGGGTCCTGGAGCATGGGGTGGTGGGATATTCTCTGCCAGAGGTGATGAGCAGGACTGGGATCTGAGTTTCTGGGGAACACGTTAGGGAGAGTAGCAGATGGTACCTGCTTGTATGGGTTGGGGGTAGTGGGTATATTTGAAAGTGAAAAGCCGGTGGAAAAGACTGGGGATAGGAGAGCTAAGAGGATGGGAAGGTTTTGTATATATGTTCTAGGAAAAGAGAGAGCTGCTCCTGACACCTGAGCAAAGTATATTTGGGTAGGCATGCGCTATATGCGGGCAACAGTGGCATCTGGAGACATGGGGCAAGGACAGTGGTAGATGGAGGGAGTTAAAAAGCTGGGGCCAGCTCTCATATTTTAAGGCTGGGGTCACAGGGCAGGAAAGGAGGAATACCCTGTCCCTATCAAATTCTGCGTCTGGATGACCAGAACATGAGCATGTTCAGTGCCCAGCTGTGGGGAGAGATGCCACGGACCAGAACTCACATGGGGAACCAGGAAAACACCAAGCAGGCAAAAAAAGCAATTCATTTTCTCATGATAACTCTCAGCCTCTGCACAAGAGCCTGAAGCACAGAGAAGAGAAAACAGCTGTCCATACCTGCTGTCCGTACCTGCAGGGGAGCTTAGGATGTCAGACCTGTGCCAGGGGAGCAAAGGCTCTTTTCCCCCAGCCTCTTTCCTAGAGAGAACTATGTG